ATATTGGGATATATCGTATCGTGACCCCTCTGTTATGATATGTATCGTATCGCCAAATTCTTGCCAATACACAGCCCTGTTATTTAAAAAAGATTAACAGCACAACTCACCTTGCACACCCAGGGTTCCTGCAGATCCTTAGAAAGTCTTAAAAGTCATTGAATTCAGCAATCCAAAAATAAGGCCTTAATTAGCCTTAAAATGTCTTAAAAAATGTAACACATTGTACATAAGATGATTGTAATTAATTTCAAATATTAAAATAATTGATAAAACAATTTTTTCAAATATTCACATGCAGACATTCCCCTTTGACATCACTTCCTGTTATTTCACATGCAAATATCTCAACAACTGTCCATCCGAGCATCATGAAATTTGTTTTGTAATATCAGGGTTCCCGCGGATCCTTAAAAAGTCTTAAAAGGCATTGAATTTATCAGTCCAAAAATAAGGCCTTAATTAGATTTAAAAAGTCTTCAATCAATCTTTCAGAGGTCTTAAAATGTAAGTAGGATGATTGTAATTCCTCTCAAATATTAATAGAATCGGTAACGTTTATTTATCTTTTTAAATAATTTATTGAATGCGCCTCGCAGCTAGCTTGTTTGGTATAAAAAAAATTGGCTAAAGTTGTCGCTAACTTTTTATTTCCATTTGTGTTTATTGTGGTATTGGTCTTAAGTTTAATTTAAAGTGGCATTAAATAGGTCTTTAAAAGTCTTAAAYTTAGCTTGCCTTAAACTGTAGGAACCCTGAATATGTTAATGTCTTTCCAAAAATGTATTCACTTTTTTTTACAAAAAAATGGTGTCACAGGCACTTAAGGTTCCATCTACAGCAAATTGGGGTTGAGACCCCACTGTGGGTCCTAAAAGTCCAAATTTTGGGTCGTTAGAGGATTTCCAGACATTAAATGAAGTTTAAAACTCACTGCTACGAATGTTTCTGCTATAGTTTATACGTATATGGATAAAAACAACTGGTCTATCAGCAATATTTTAATACTTAAACAAAAAATACATTGGTTTATGAGTTTCTGCTAGTTTTTTTTTTTCCTTTTTTATGTCATTTGTGTTTATTATGAAATTGGTCTTAAATTTAATTTCACTTGGCATTAAAAAGTCTTAAAAGGTCTTAAATTTAACTTGTCTTAAACCATGGGAACCCTGACACCGTCAACTCAACTCCACTACAAAACTACTTCCCCCGGGCTTTTCACAATAAAACCACRTTAAAGTCTCCATATTAACATGTTAAATCTAACCGTGCACGTCACYGAAGAGGTGTTTACTACATTCAGTGACGGCGAAAACAATGTTTTTTTTTTACGTCAGTCAACATAAGCAGCGTAATCTCCACCCGCTGCCAGTTACTCCATCAAAAACATTAGCATGCTAACGCACATAGCGGTGCTGCGAGGAAATGTGTCCCCCAGGAAACGGTTGACTGGCGGCCGTGACRAAATCTTCCGAATGTGTTCAGCTATTTAAACTGGTATGTTTGGTATTCAGAAAATTCATATAACAAATTAAAAACCTGTATTCCGTACGAACCGGTATAACCGTCAGCACTAAGTAGGAACCCTGTTAAATGAAGTCCAATCCTGGGAAGGCTTTTTGTTTAATATTTTAATATTTAGCTTTATTAAAGTTTTTAAAGTTTATTGTTTTTGTGCTCCATTTGAACTTGTTTTGCTTTAATTTCAGGCTATTAAAGCTCTGAAGGAGGAGAACATCCAGACTGTGTTGATCAACCCCAACATAGCCACGGTGCAGACCTCCAAAGGTCTGGCAGACAAAGTCTACTTCCTGCCGATCACTCCAGAATACGTCACTCAGGTGTGGATGTTTTTAACGTCTCTATTATTGACCTGATATTCCATCGTAACAGTTTAAAAATGAACAAACACGATGGTCGTTTCACAACAGGTGATCAAAAATGAGCGTCCGGACGGCGTCCTGCTAACCTTCGGCGGTCAGACGGCTYTGAACTGTGGCGTGGAGCTGAGGAAGATGGGCGTCCTGGAGAAGTATAAAGTGAAGGTTCTGGGAACGCCGGTGGCCTCCATCGAGATGACCGAGGACAGGAAGATCTTTGTGGAAAAGATGGAGGAGATCAACGAGCACGTCGCTCCCAGTGAAGCAGCGCTGTCGGTGGAGCAGGTGGGCGTGGCTACCGACACTTTACAACTATGCTTCCTGTTTTGCCACCTACCTTTGGTTTAGTTCATGTTTATTTTCTCGCAGGCACTGGCGGCTGCTGAACGATTGGGCTACCCCGTCTTGGTCCGCTCGGCGTTCGCTCTCGGCGGCCTAGGCTCTGGCTTCGCCAACAACCGAGACGAGCTCATTTCTCTGGTATCAGCGGCCTTCGCACACACCTCTCAGGTGCTGGTGGACAAGTCTCTGAAAGGCTGGAAGGAGATCGAGTACGAGGTGGTCCGAGACGCCTACGACAACTGTGTGACTGTAAGAGGGGGCTGAAAACATCGACACAAACCTTTTAATCTGCAGCTCGTTATAATAAATMATTTATCATTGAGCTTTTTAACGCTTGTGTTCAGGTGTGTAACATGGAGAACATCGACCCTCTGGGGATCCACACTGGAGAATCCATYGTGGTGGCACCAAGTCAGACGCTGAACGACCACGAGTACAACATGCTGAGGAACACGGCCATCAAAGTGATCCGACACCTCGGCATTGTGGGCGAGTGCAACATCCAGTACGCCCTGAAYCCTGAATCCTGTCAGGTAAACAGAAATGAGTTTTATTTATAGCTGCAGAGTTCTGGCATTCATTCTTCTACACAAATATTTTAATATTGCAGTATTACATCATCGAGGTGAACGCCCGTCTGTCACGGAGCTCTGCGCTCGCCAGTAAAGCTACTGGTTATCCTTTGGCCTACGTCGCTGCTAAACTTGGTCTGGGGATACCGCTGCCACAACTAAAGTATGTATTTTAACACATAATAATCTTTTTTTTTAAGATCTCTGTTTTAGTTTTTTATTTCTGATACTGATGGTTTTAAATTTGGCAATTGAAATGTGGTCATTTGTTTTTTTTTTTCATCTAGAAATTCTGTCACCAACTCAACGACGGCGAACTTTGAGCCCAGTTTGGACTACTGCGTGGTGAAAGTTCCTCGATGGGATCTCAGCAAGTTCCTCAGGGTTTCCACCAAGATCGGCAGCTCCATGAAGAGCGTCGGTAAGAGAGAGAGAAAGAGAGAGAAAGAGAGAGAGGTATGTTCTCTGTGAGTGTTCAGTAGTCGTAATATTTTTGTTGAATGTTTTCTCACCAGGAGAGGTGATGGCCATCGGCCGGAGCTTTGAGGAGGCCTTTCAGAAAGCTCTGAGGATGGTGGACGAGAACTGCGTCGGCTTCGACCACACCATCAAACCCGTCTCCGAAAAGGTTTGAGTTTTCCTCATTTCAATTTGTGACTGAAATAACTGCTGAACTTTAGGTTGCAGAATCTTCCCACAGCTTTGGGTTGTTTGAAGTAGGGTTGGAGGATATTGGCAAAAAAATAATCACAACTAGACATGGGTTTTTATGATGTAAAAACAAGTGTGCATTGCCATGTAGCATTTCATTGCAGCATGGCTTTGCCTGCAGCATAGGACGTGCAGAATAAACTGTGACCAAGTTCAAATGAGTTTTCTATACCAGCTTGTGCCTGTCAAGTCAGCAGGTGTTTGTAAATTAGGGTAATTGCGTGTCAGTATGAATTAGAAAATATGTTGTTTTAATTAAATTCTTTGTTGATAGGTGGGATTTAACCCTGATCTCCTGCATGAAAGCCCATAGTTTTAACTATGAGACTATTGGAGATGTGCCAGACAGTATTCCCAGGGGTTGATTTGTACGTGTGCAGAAAGAGGCAACATTGCCAATGCAATCGTTGACACTAAACTGAAACGTGTTACAGCAATAGGACAATATTAAGACAGTATTACAGTAAAACATCAAAATACAATCATATTAGTATTGTAATCACTTAAGTACTGAGTGTAAATATTAAACTATGGTGCAGTACCAAGTTGAGTAGATCCAGCAGGGGCAGAATTAAACCAATGCAAGGCTACGTTGAGTCCCATTATAATTTAGTAAACATTAATAAATCAAAAACTATAATTTGTGACGGCACCAAAAGGCATAGCCATCATTTGGCACAGGAGCTTTACAGATATAAATGACAACTGCAGMTGCAGGRCAAAGTATTGAGGAGGAGAAGCGTGCCTAAGTGGAGATGACTTGGATGAGAAATGAATCACAATAGTGTGCATTGCATTGGATGCAATGCACACTTGATTAATTGTGCCGTTTAGCCACATGACCTATTTAAACCCTCTAGTGGGTAAGACATTCTCTAAGTACCGTATCTGTTCCAGTTTGTTTATTAAATACAGATTTCAAACTATACACCTGCTYTTAAATTGTTTTGATGAGCTAAGTAAAACCGAAGTGATAAATTACTGCATTTTTTTTATCTTCCTCATATTTGAAGCGTTGCAGCAGAAGGCAGCAAAAGACAAGCAGATTCATGAAAATAACACCTCAATCCACCTTCTGGTGTCACCCCCACCCCGCCATATAAACCCCCCCAAACTCCTTTTTGACTGACGTCTTAAATTAATTGACAAGTGGCAAAAAAAAAAAAAAAAAATCTACAGGAAGAAGAAGATAAAAAGAGGTGAAAGTTGAATGAAGTTCAGTGGCGATGGAGAGAAATCAAGACCGAGCGATGAGATGTGAGAGGTTTATGATTTTTAGCGTGTTCAGATTTTATAGTTAGTTTGCAGTTTAATGTTTATTTTAGTCAGTTTTAATGAGTTTGAATCAAAACAAGGAGGCGATATTTGAACGTGGCCCTCTGGCAGCACTAACTCTTGAGCCCCATGCCCCCAGTTCTAGGGGCAAATCGTTTTTTTTTTTTTTTCGTTTTCCATTTGTTTTAACTTTTTTTTTTTTTACATCAGATCTGTCTTTTAAGGCAGGTAAGAAAAAAATAAACTTTTGGATGTAAAAACTTAAGCTTTCTTAACATTTATCATGGTCTGTCCTGTGCAGAATGACAAAATGCAAAATTATTTCTTTCCTAAAACCTCACTCCAGATAATTTTAGCAAACAATCTTTGCACAGGTAATGTTCACAAGTGTTTTTAGCCTACTTCATTATGGTTTTAAATGGGTTATACAGTATACTGTCTAGGGGTGTAAGGAAATATCGATACACTGAAATATCGCGATATTTCATTTCCCGATACTGTATCGATATTCTAAAGCCCTGTATCGATTTTTTTATTAAGGTTTAAAATGTCAACCTTCTTGCCAACCATTCATTTTTATGTTGTAGTTCAGCCTCTGACCACTAGTTGGCAGCAGTGAGCCAGCCATTTAGCTCCTCTACCTCTTGAGCGCCAGAGAGTAAGGGTAGCATTAGCATTGTGGGAGACAATGTAAGCATTGTAAGTGAACGTTAGCTTTTTTTTCCAGTAAGAGGTTTTTATTTAATAGAATTTTTGGACAAAAAAATCACAATATATCGCAATATATTGCCTTGCTTACAGTATCGCAATATATCGGGATATATCGTATCGTGACCCCTCTGTTATGATATGTATCGTATCGCCAAATTCTTGCCAATACACAGCCCTGATACTGTCTAATGAAAAAATTATTCAGGTGAGAGTAAAAATAAATAAATAAATAAATAAAAAATTATGTTCCATCCCCAATATCTCTAAAACCACAGCAGCTGTTTTAATACACTTCTGATGAARTCTCCCAAGTGTTAGCKTTATTTTGATAACCAAGATTATTTAAGTAGAGTTTGTAAATGCTGAGACAAACTCAATTACATTTCAGCATGGTGTTTTGAGCAAAAACGTCAAGAAAAACCCTTGGGGCTTTTAATCGTATTATTCGCCAAGTGCCAAATAATAACCGTTGAATGTTTTTCTGATGAGTAACTGCACATTCTGCCCAACCCTAGTTTGGTTTATTGTCTTGTTTGGTAATTTAACAGAATCYTAAAGTTTTTTCCTAATGTTAAACGAAAGAAAGTTGCAGTGTGTGAACCTGGCCTTAAGAATGAAAATGAGATGTTAGGCAGTTGTTTCAACGTTARCATGACATTAACAGGTGTTTTCTGCTCTTTAAAGGTAAAAAGAAAATGACTTGGAAGTTWATAACAAAGAGTCAAGATTACCTCCAAAATTTAATTCACGTCTCTGTTTATTACTTCTATCTGTGCACAAAATATTGGCAGAGAAAAAGTTTTTAGTACAAATCTGCCAGTCTTCCAGTGTTTGATGCTTGTTCACTTGTTTGTCTGTTGGTCGCAAGGATCTCGGAGTGAAACGTTTACGTTTCTAATATCAACTAAAACAACTAACTGGAGAAAAGTTCAGCTGTTTATTTGTGAACGTTAACCTTGTAGTTTCTTGCTCTGGCCGCCCTCTGCGCTGCAGGAGTTGCAGACTCCCACCGATAAACGTATTTTCATTTTGGCGGCGGCGCTCCGAGCCGGCTACACAGTGGATCAGCTGTACGAGCTCACCAAGATCGACCGCTGGTTCCTGCATAAGATGAAGAACATCGCCGACCACGAGCAGCTGCTGGAGACCTACAACCAGGTARCGTTCAGTAGACTGGAGCGACACAAATAAAGTAGAATGGTAGTTTTTTATTTTTATTTTGTTTGATTAAAATGTTTCAATCCAGGATGAGAGCGCCATGCCTCCAGAGGTGATGCGTAAGGCCAAACAGCTGGGCTTCTCAGACAAACAGATCGCTCAGGCTGTTCAGAGGTGGGTGGGAAGTGGACTGGCAACACTTCATTTCTTTGTCACTGTTAGTAGGGCTGCAACAACGAATCAATAACAACTGATTATTAAAAGCGTTGGCAACGAATTCATAATCGATTCGTTGTGTCCCGCGATTTATGCGCCTCTCGCCATGTCACGGAGCCGTTTACATCACTTGCAGAGTTGGGCTGTTTATTGGCAAGAATTTGGAGATACGATACATATCATAACAAAGGGGTCACGATACAATATAT